CCGGTTGAGGGCCCTACCCTGCCTGGGGAGTGGTGGGTGGATGGGGTGAGGGGTAGGTTGGGGGTGGGGGAGGAGGGATGGGGTGAGGGAAGGGAGAGGGAGAGAGAGAGAAGGGACTTACATGTGAAACAAGCTTGTTCCCTAGCTTGAAAAAAAAAAAAAAAAAGGTTGGGTCTTAGAAAAAAATAAATAAAAAAAAGATATATCTCAGTAGGAACTTGTAGAAAAAGGACAGAAGACCTTTGAAGTATTTTCTGTTATTCTGAAGCTTAAGAAGTTTGAGAGTAGACCAGAAACCCCTGCAGTTACTACCAATGTATAGTTCAGCGTTCCTAGATTCAGTTATTAGGTAGACTACTAAAGCCTAATCTCCTACTGTATTCCTCACCCTATTCTGTACGATTATTCTTAGCAGTTAGTACTGCAGGGAATGGCAACAGAAAGCAGCAAAAGCAATTTGAATGTGTCAAACATTCCCATTCACCAATTACATTTTAAATATAAAGACTGGGCTGGAGACATGGCTCAGTGCTAAGTGTGCTTTCTCCACAAGCTGAATGTGAATGCCCAGCACCTGCACAAAAGGCTATATACATGGCGGCACTTGACCAGAGCATTAAGAGCACAGGAGAGAAGGGCAGAGGAGTCCCAATCCCAAATGCTAAGACTCCAGCTCAGACCCTGTCTCCAGGCAAGAAGCAGGGGGCTGCTGCTGAACACACTTCAAATTCTGATCTGGTCTCCAAATCTGTGTGCATGGGCAAATGCATCCAAAAGTTAGGGGCATGTACCGGGCACATATATACCATACACAACCCCACCCCCCAATAACTCAAAGCCCACTCAAAAGAATGAGCATTCCAACCCTCAAGAAACTAGTCACTTTTAATCTAGTGTGTGTGCAGTAAGTGAAACCACATACACAACATGACACTTGCATGGGATTTTGGTTGGAATCTTTCCTTTCTGTTTAACAATGTACTATCCTAACTTTTAGTAATGAAGAATCCAGAGAACATGATCTGGTACCTTCTAAAATGAGCATCTAATAGACAAGGAACAGGTGTGAGGAAACTGGACATGGGGGCCATGGAAGTGCTGTAAAACTGGAAGGTCGTCATGATGTCATCACTTCATAAATCTAGAATTTATAAATTCTAGATAGAGTAACAATTTTTTGTGGGTCTGGTGTTTATTTTGGGGGACAGGGTCTCATCGTGTAGCCTGGGCTGACCTCGAACTCCAGGCAACCCTCCAAGCTCAGCCCCCAGGTGCTAGACCTACAGGCACAAACACCACAGGTAGATTTCCATCTACCCTGTTCATCTTATAACACCTGAACTGTGTGAGCAGTATGGCTAGTGCTGAGCACTCCTTCCTTCTGACACCTATAATTTTGGTCTATAGTAGGTAGAAAATGACTCCGTGACTAATTACCAATAACAGCCATGTGTGCTGAATCTCTAAGTAGACATTTTACCTCTCACAAAGCTGCCACAACTTTTTTTTCCCTGCATTTTGGATACACATTTTATTAACCCTCACAGAGTACAATCTTTTTATCATGTCTCTCATACACCATATACTCCAAAAATAATGCATCTTTACTATGCCCATAGAGATGAACTAGATAAAGACTGTCTTCTTTGTGCCTCTTGCTCTCTGGCTGCCACAACTTTTTACAGCAGGAATAAAACACTGCCTATGTGGCCGGCAGCATAGGGAAAGGAGCTCTGGAATCTGCACCCATTTTCCTCTGATTTGGTCCATATGCCTTCCCCTGTGGCTAACTTTGCTCCTGTGTTCTTGCAGCATCCTATAGCTGTGAGTCCTGCTGAGTCACTGAGCATGTGTTCTGAGGACCACTAACACAGATGACCCTTTCACACCATGAGCTGACTGACGGTGGCCCAGCCAAGGAAGTTTGCTTACAGCTGGCAAGGGCTCTGGAGAGATTTTCTTCTCCTCTAGCAAACATCAACACAAGTTCCATGCACGCGCCCTGCTGGATAAAGCAGTGCACATGCTGTGTAAGGATGCTCACCAGGAACTCGAGCAGAAAAAGAATCAGGAGGTCCTGCCCCAGCTCCACCTTCTTCATCTTCTTCAAATTCCAAATTCTCTTCTTCACCAGGTGCTAAAATCCGTCTACAAGGAAGAGAGAGAAAGAAACTAAACAATGAGCTACAACACTTAATACAATAAGGCCTCACAGATGTTCCACAGGAAGCAGAGTTTTGTAAGAGGCTGACATATTGTTACCAATATTGATATCAATCATATCAAAGACATCCAAGTGGATAAAACAACAGATGAATCTGAAAGACAGGTGTACAGAAGACACTAAGAGAAGAAGATGAATATGAACACTTATTTACCTTAATGGGATGGGCTGAACATCAAATGGGAATTCTTTGTTATATGTAAGAATATTCTTCAGGACTATAATAAAAAAGACAAAGAAACATGAATTCTTCTATAAAAACTAAGCTGTAGCTCAGAGAGCTAATTTGTAGTAAGTTTTATCATGCACATTTAGACACATTTTAAATTCCCAGATTATCATTCCAGAGCCGTTGTACTTGTTTGCAGAAGGTCTGAGAAAATTAGGCCCCCAAAACTTTTCCTACTAGGTCCTGGGTGAGATGCAGGGACCTCTCTGTACTGAAGGACTGACATTAAAAATGACAGAAGCATATCTTACTCTGTCTTGAGTTTTCTCGTGAATGTTACCAAACTGTTAAGGTTTGTTTTGGCAGTAATACATCTCGTATTCCTTTTATGATATTTATAGCTTATGTCTATCTATTTATAGATATGGACACAGTAAAGAGAAGTCTCCAGGCAACATGGTACCTGTTGTGGTTTCTCCCTTTGGGCATACAAGCTTAGAGGGAGATGCTCTGTAATGCTGCTGTGGAACTACTCTAAATATGTAACTTAGTGTTTCACTTCCAACCCTGTGGGTCCCAGTAACAAGCTGTAAATGACAGGAAGGTGAATCCACAGCAGGAAAAAGGCAACACAAAAGGCTCCTGTAAATTAGTGTTCAACACACCCAGCATTTAACTTTGCAGTCCTATAGTTCAGAGCTCAAAGAAGTAGGGCATATTGGCATATAGCATATAGCCTCTAAAGGAGGGCATCCAGAGGACACAGGTTGCAATTGCATGACATGCTCCAAGGATTGTCAGTTTTTATCCAATTTCTTATATGTGTACTCATAGAATCCAGTGTGAAAAAAATCAGAAGTCACAGTTTTCTTTGGTTTGTATTATCTCTCTTTCTTTAGCTCTTACCTCTACCCTTCCGCCATCTTCCTTTTTCTCAATAACTGTGCACTTAGTGACCAAAATGTTTTAGACTCAGGATATACTGTGATCAAGAACTCCTAAATGGATCTTAAACCAAACTTAAGAAAAACAGACAGCACGCACATCAACCAGTACAGCAGATAACACACAATGTGGGGAGCTATCACTGGCAGCACAGAGGTCCCTGGGAGAGCAACACATCTACTTTACTCTGTCTTCAGCAGACGTCCCCTCAACAGCATCAAATCGGAGGGTTTGTAACAGAAAGGCTATTCTTCTGCTGTTCCTCTTCTGACCTTAGTACAGATACTAACATTCTACAGGTCTATACACAGTACAGCTTACCCTCAGGGGAAGTCTTCAAACACGTATACTGGCTGGGGGAAGTTTGAGGCTGAGATACACACTCATCCAAACTCCCATTTGGACCTTTGACCAAACTCAAGAAAAGCAGATCATGGATGCCATCAAGTAGACAAGCTAAGGTGCAAATGTAGTCACTGCTAGGATGGACACACAGAAATCTGGACAGAGAGACAGTGGAGTAGCTGGAGCTGTGACCCAGGATAGAAGCATCACCCAGAGCTACTCTGGGGTTGGAACTTTCCAGAATTGGAGAAGCAAGAGCAATGAAGATTCAGAGAAGGAAGACAACTTTGGGATGGGGGTAAAAGGCTTGCTCTTTTCTGAGACAGAGTTTCACTCTATATCCCGACCTGGCTTAGAATTCACCAGGGAACTTCTGGCAATCTTCCCACCTCAGTCTCTTGAACAGGCATGTCCCACCACATTCAGCTTGGATTTGACCTCTTCAAGTAATAGAACGTTTACAAGGAAGAAAAAGTATCAGAAGACCAAAGTAGGTTTACATGAAATGTCAGCCCCACAATTCCAATGACAGATGCCCATAACTATGCTGAAGTCATGTGCATTACTCAGTTTTCCCAGTCCTAAAATGGGAGTGACATTTCCTTCACAGGCCACTGAGGGAACTAAAATTTAACAACATCCATGACAAGTTTTAAAGTGTTGAGCACAACCACACTCAGCTTCAAGTATCTGCACTTTATAAATGTCTTTTTTTCTTTTTCTTTGTTTTTAGGTATCAGTGCTTAAAAAGAGAGTAAGTAGAAACATATACGGTTATGCGGTAATTAATATTTGTCACGGTTTTCCACTGTGACTGACTAGAATCCTAGTGTCTCCTGCCTCACAGGGAGTTCTGCCTTTTCAACATCCCTTCTGAACTTTATGATTTATGATTAAACTGTTGATGACAACATTTGTCATTAATATTAGATATGATACAGAAACCATATTGTATAATAATAAAAGGAGAAAAGGCCAACCCTTAAAATACATGAAAGAAGTTGAAAGCTACATTAGTTATAAAGAATATTTTCCCTCAGGAGAATGAGAGGACATAGGGTTTAATGTAGCCCAGGCTGGGCTTAACTCACTACAAAGTAGAGGCTAGACTTAGATTCCTAATCCTCCTGCCTCTGCCTTCATAGTGGAATGATTACAGGCATGTGTTGCCACATGTGGTTTGAAAGAAAATGGTGCCCAAAGGAAGTAGCACTATTAGGAGGTATGGCTTTATTGGAATAAGTGTGTCACTGTGGGGGAGGACTTTGAGGTCTCTTCTGCTCAAGCTTCCCTCAGTATGACACACAGTTGACTTCCTGTTGCATGCAAGATACAGGACTCTCAGTTAGCTACTTCTCCAGCACCATGTCTGCCTGCACATGGCCATGCTCCCCACCATGATAATGGACTGAACCTCTGAACTGTAAGCAAGCCACCCCACTGAAATGTTTTCATTTCTAAGAGTTGCCACGGTCATGGTGTCTGCTTTTTGTAAACTTCTTTTTTCAGGTATCAGTGCTTTGGAAACGAAATATTTGGGGGTGGAAAGACAGTGTTTAAGAGAATGTGCTATTCTTTGAGAGTACCACAGTTCAGTTCCGAGTACCCACTCAAGGTGGCTCACAACTGTCTCAACGTCAGTTCCAGAGTGAGGCCATGTGGCCTCTGAAGGAATATGCACTCCTAAGTACACACCAACACTAGGAATGCCCCAGTGGCCTGCTTCCATCAGCCAGGCCTCACTGTTCTTTTGCTTATTACATTTTATGTATTTTGTGGGGGTCAGAGAACAACTTTTGGGAGTAGGCTCTTTCCTTCCACCATGTGGGTCCTGGGAATTGAACTCAGGTGGTCAGGCTTGGTAGCAAGTGTCTTTACATTTTGAGACATCTTACTAGCTCCAGTCCTTACTTTTTAAAAGTGTTTTATAATCTCACAGCAGCAGCTGAGGACCATTCAGTTTTATGTACTTGAATCAATCTGACACCCTCAGTGTCCTCTTCTACTGAGAATCAGTCTTACTCATGGAGAATGGACCTGCCACCCCCTTGCAGTTCAGGCCCTAAAAAATGACACATGTGATCTCATAGTAACGTATCACTTTCATGGTAGGCAAAAATGGGGAATAATTTCATTCTGAATGGTTACTTTTTTAAACTATGGAAGAAGGCTTCCTCTCAAGACATTCAAATCTACTGAATATTGCACAAATTTGCTGAGTTCATACTATAAACAATGCACTGCACAGACTATGCATAGGAAAGTCAAAGGCTGTTTGTGCCTGCTCTGAAGAACAGAATAAATAGAAATGAGAGTAATACAGGACAGACTCTGACAGGATGTAAAATCATCCCTTAACGGAGACGAGGTAGTGGGTCCCTGAGGCTAAGAAGGCACAGAAAGCTTTCAGGAAAAGTGATTTCTGTGGTGTTCGGAAGGACAGGTTAATGGAAAGGAATATTATTGGTGGTGAGGGGAGACAGGCTGGAGTAAGCAGTGTGCTCTGAGGGGTAACATAAAGATTACTAGAGTTATTACAATCACAGGTATGAACTTCATACAGGACTGCCAAGAGATTTAAAAACTTTGAAGGAAAGAATTCATTAGCAAAGTGAATCATACTGAAAGCTACATCATTCATTTTCCACAGAAGAGGCATAACCAAGGGAAAGCTTGACTAACACTATTTCATCTAAAATGTAGTTAAACACTAAGCTGCAGAAAGTACTTCTGATAGAAGTAACTCATAAGTGTCCAACCTTTATAAGCTAAAAAACTACAAAGTATGTCCTACTGAGTTACCGTATACATAGCTATGCTGCTTCTAGAAGCAACAAAATTAAAATCACTGAAAAGTATTGAGAAGGGGCCAACAGATAGCTCAGTGGGTAAAGGTGCTTGCTGCCAGACCCAAGGACCCAGGTTCAATCCCTGGAACCCACACATCGAAAGAAAAGAACCAATTTCTACAAGCTGTCCTATAGGTTATCCTCTGATGTCTACCCAGGTGCTGAGCCCTCTACTCTCTAGATAGACAGCCAGATGATTGATGACAGATAGAAGATAGATAGATAGATAGATAGATAGATAGATAGATAGATAGATATGATTGATGATAGACAGATGATTGATGTTAGATGATAGATGATTGATGATAGATGGATATAGACAGGTGTAAAACAACTTTGTAAAGTATTAAGAAGGAAGAAGTTCAAATGAAAAGCATTATATAAGTTCAAAATATAATAAAATGAAGGTGAAGTTAATGGTAAACTACTTTAATTCCTATACTCGAGAGGTTACTACAGGAGAACTGAGTTTCAGACAAGCCTGGCTACACAGCAAGGTCTTGTCATCTTCTAAAAATGAAGCAAAATAAAATAAATTTAATATCACTATATTTCTATTCCCACTGTGACTCTTTAAAATAGAAACAAAAGCCTTAAGAAAAAAGAAAGCAAGAAGAACAGAAACCACTGGAGGTCTTAGTGTTAATATTCCACTAAGGCAGGAATCAATCAGAAAACCACTAAAAAGATCTTAGTGCAATATCCCATTAAGGCATGAATCAATAGTTTCCCACAAACTTGAACTAGAAAACTATGACATTCAGGACTTACATATCTCAAACCCATTCCTGATATTTGCAAGCATAAGGTCACAGACAAATGTCAGAACTGTCATTAGCAAAAAGCAGCTGAGAGAATTTCTCTGAATGCCAAGTCTTATAGCTGATACTCTTTAAAAAAAAAAAAAAAAAAAAAAAAGCCAACCAATCCAAGATCTTTGAGGCACTTGGAGGACTTAACAGAGGATGATTATAAAGAGATAATAAATGCCTACTGCTAAACTCACAATTTTTATGGCTATCCCACTTACCATAAGGTTCCCCACCTGCCCTATCCTTTCTCCCTCTGCCCCTCCTACAATGATAGAGAACTAAGTCAGGGCAGAGCCTTGTTCCTGTAAGCCACATCCCCAGCTTTCACTAAGTCTTAACTTGTGTTTGAAGCAAACCATAAACAAAACCCCTAACTGAAAATGGTAATTGTAAGAAGCCAAAATCCTCCTCCTCCCCCTTTTATCATTTAAGAAAAAAGAAAGAAAGAAAGAAAGAAAGAAAGAAAGAAAGAAAGAAAGAAAGAAAGAATTTTTCTGAGACCCAGCCACCAGGCATACTGACTACAGCTGTGACTTGTCTGTCTGTTTCCTTGTGGCTCTGGGATGCCTCACACGTGCTGAGTATGCACTCATTCCTGACAACACCAGCCCCAGAGCTACACTCTTCTAATTAAAGCCATCAAGGTGCTTTGTTCCAAAATATCTTATATAAAGCCAGTCATGGAAGACCATATATGATTCTATTTGTGTAAAATGTTCAGAATGGGCAAATTTACAGACAAAGTAAGTTAGTGGTTTCCTAGAACTGGTAACTGGAGAAGGTCAGAAGTGGATAAGGAAATGAGTGATGCCAGTGGGCACAGGGTTTCTTTTTAGGGCGATGAAAACATCCCAAAGTTGACTGTGGCAATGGTGCACTGTCAGGGCAATAAAAAGCAGTAAGCATACACTTTAAATTAATGAATTTTACGGTATCTAAACAACATTCAATGAAGCTACTAATAAAATTATATCAACTATTTGTTAATGCTTTTTTAAAGAAACCATAAAAGTTCTATGAATGGGAAAATGTGATCAGAAAAAATTTTTAAATTTTACATTAGTTGATTGGCATTCCTATATTCACTGAGAACAGGTAAGAACTACTTAGAAATATATAATTACAGTTCTTGTAATAAAAAGGTTATGGTCTGCATTACAAAAAGTAGCAAAACTATTAAAATGACACAATTCATCATAATTCTTGCCATATGCAGAAGGATCTTGCTCTGAAGAGATGAAATATGATCATCTAACAATTGTGGAAAAGTCACCAGAATCGCAGCAGATCTGTGTTCCTGTGTTTTTGCTGCTTCTCTCTACCAACCCAAAGAAAACAACAGAAACCTGATCCTGTTTAGCAGACTCTGCAAACCTCTTTCTGCCCTGGTCCTTCCATTACAAGTACATTTCCACTTCCTCAGCCACTTGCGTCTGCCTCTCAGACCGACTGTGAGCTGGGGACTGGCAGCTTATGAACAATCTCTTCAGTTTGGGTGAAAACCTTTTACCCACAGTGCGGAGAAACCAAGGACTGCACTAATGTAAACTCTGCTCACCTGCATCAGGCCCTGCCAGCTACTAAGGGCTGCAGTGAAGCAGGGCTGATCAATTCACCTTATTCTCCAACTACGAAGTGAGAGAATGTGACCACACAGCCAGGAGTCTTTCTTTTCTAAGACGCCATGATTTTATGATTCTCTACTGAGAATCTGCCTTAACAGATAGATCTGAAAGCTGTTCTTCCCTGATTACAAAAGCATGTTAAGCCATGTAATCCTGCCTTGCTGGTATCAGCTAAGATTACTCAGTTATATTCACCTCTGCCCATGCTGCAGACATTTCAAGAAAGAAAACATTCATCTGAACCAGCAAAAAAAGGAAAAAAAAAAAGTGGTAGTGGCCTTTCACAAGCATCTTAGTCACCAAAATATTTGAAGAAATTATTTATTTCAGAAAGTTTTAGAGGAAGAGAAAAAAACCAGATACAAAAAGGAAGTATTTCATAGCATGGCTCCCAGGGGGCTGCAGTTTTCATGCCATGTAAGCAGAATGGCACCACTGGCTATAGTTTATAGTCTTCTTTAGACTGCTGGAAATGTTTGTCAAAGAAACCAATCTTATTAAAGCCACCAGAAACAAAGTAAAGACACCAAATTGTAATTACTACAAATATTGCGGGAATTTAAGAAAGGACTAAAAATATAACTTGATATTAGGAGAAAACCACCATCTATGCTAAATAGTGTTAACATCTACAATGAATTATTTCCCTAAAAGAGATCACAAGAGTACCAGAAGATAAAACTTACTTGGCTCTAGCTTCTTCAGGTCCTCCAGTTTAAATTCTTCTTGGGACTGTGTGGACTAAATTTAAAATACGCACATTACATCTTGTTACTACAAAGATTGCGCTGTACCCTATGTCTCCTAAGTGGTAAAAACCAAATATTCAAAGTGATGCAAAACCTATTTCTTGCTTTCAAGGTGGAAAGTGAAAAGTTCCAAATTGGGTTTTGTTTGTTTTGCATTCCAGGAACATTCAGGCTAAATGTAATAGAAAAAAAATTAAAGTTATAACTTTGACTTCTATAGTTTATGAACTAAATCATGTCAGTATGCATGTTAATGATGAATTCCCCTAACTGTACAAGTCTCCTGAGATGACCCGACTTTAGGCATGAGTGCCTACTATTCAGCAGGACAATCATGTCAGAAAGTTAAGAACACCTCTACTTACCTGTAATGCTGCACTTCTCAATTCTAAACATGTGGCGATTTTGCCTATGGTTTTCTGTAAGGAGATAAAAGAAAATCAGGTAAAAAAATTTTTTAATCAATAAGAGGTTTCTAATTCTTTAAAAACAAGATAAATCTTATTTCTCTGTAGCATGTGGCAGACTCAAGAGAAAAAAAGCAGGATGCAATGGCTTGAGATGAAGGAGGTAGGTGTGTAATCTCCTACACTAACACCTCACAACCAATTCTAAATCAAGGTCACATCGGTAACGGCTCTCACCATAATTTAAGGGTAATGAATACAGTCAGTAATGGCAACCAATATGGAATCCCCCCCCCCCCGCAAAAAATTAAAAATAAGGCTGGCAAGATGGATCAGCAAGGCCAGGTGGTGATGGCGCACACCTTTAATCCCAGCACTCGGTGGCAGAGGCAGGCAGAGGCAAAGCCAGCCTGGTCTACAGAAAAAAAAAAAAAAAAAAAAAAAAAAAAAAAAAAAAAAAGATGGCTCAGCAAGTGCTTGCTGCTAAGCCTGACGACCTGACTTTAATTCCCAGAACCCGCATGCTCAAAGGAAAGACCTACAAATTGTCTGCTGATATTGGTATGTATGTGGTGGTCTACACGTCTGCGCACATTCACATACATACATATATAACCACACACATAAAATGCAAAAAAGTTATTAAAAAATTAAAAGTAGAACACTACCATATGGCCCAGCAGTCCCACTCTTCAGTGTACAAAGGACATAAAATCAGTATGTTCAAGAGATATTTCACTCTCTCATTTTTCTGCAGTCCCATTCAGTTGCCACAAATCAGAAAGACCCCTAGGTATCCACTGGCTGACACACGAATAAAGAAAATGTCCTCGTCTGTACAACAGGACAAGAAATGCCATAATTTGGGACTAGGGATCAAGCTGAGCAAATTAAGTCAGGAACAGAAAGGTGGGGACCACGCTCTCACTCACCCAGAGCATTGACAAGCTGAGCCTACAGAGTGGAGAACAGCCTGGTAAGCAGAGGCGGGGGAGAGTCAGAGGAAGGGAGGACAGGGAGAAGCAGATGAAGGTGGGCTAAGTTAGTGTAAGACAAAAAAGCAAGGTCTGCTGTTCTATCACACAGGGGACAATGCATTACAATAATGTATAGTACATGTCAAAGGCAGGGGATGTGGTGTGATTGGTAGAGTGCTTGCCTGACATGCAACAAGTCCCAGGTTCAATCCCTAGCACAGCACACTGCAGGGCTAAAACCAGGCACAGGGACACAGGCCTCTAACTCCAGCACTCAGGGGGTAGCATGATCAACAATTCAAGATCATCCTTAGTAGCACAGCAAATTTTAAGTTGACCTAGGCTATAAAAGCTCCTGACTTAAAAAAAAATTTTTTTAATGTCTTTACTACAAAGATAATAAATGTTTGAGCACAGTAAGTTTAATTTGATTTAAATGTCACACAATAGAAAACTGTAACAATACTTTCTTATTAGCATGGCGTGCTAGCCCACCCATGACTTTCTTTAATCCCAGCACTTGGGAGGCAAAGGCAGGTGATCTCTGAGAGTTCATGATCAGCCTGGTGCACATAGCAAGTTTAAGGACAGGCAGGGCTACATAGTGAGAACCTGTCTCAATATAAATAAATGTATTAAAAAAGAAATAAATAGATTGCATTGTCCATTAATATGCATAATTTTAATGTTTTTCTGTGTTAGTTAAATTTAAGTAGCTGGGCATGGTTGCACATGTCTTTAATCCCAGCATTTAGGCAATCAGAGACATGTGGATCTTTGTGCTTTAAGGGCAGCCTGGTCTCCACAGAGTTCCAGGACAGCCAGGGCTACACAGAGAGACCTGTCACAAAAATAAATATATAAATTAATTAAAGAAGAATAAATTCAAATATTCCAAAAAGAATGCCAATGAAAAATGGTCAATGCCATATAGTTCCAAGCTTTCTTATCTCTTCGCTATTAAGCCTAAAATTCACCAAAAAATTGAAAATTTCTTAAGTTATTAGTACACTATAATAATGAAATTCTGACTCAAGCGAACCTAACTTACTTAAATACACAAGTTATACTAAACAAAATCAGTACCTATACTAAATAGTGAGGAATTTTACAGTCAGATATGTTTTATATAGCAAGATATAAAGTGGACACTAATGACTAGGCATAAAGCATGAGCTTGAGAGTCTACAAACTCCAACACGGGAGCTACACAAACCTTACCTCAATACAGTGAAGATGAGCTAAGGAATCAGCCCCAGGAGGACTTCTAAAACTAAGAGTTTAGGAAAGTGACACACAGTTCACCTGCCTCAAGTCCCGAAGGCAAAGAGAAAGGTTTAAAAAGGAAAGTTCTATATTTAGATACAGCTTCTTACATATATTTTTTCTTTATCTTTCTTCCTTCCTTTCCTTCCTTTCTTTCTTTTTCTTTTTTCTTTTTCTTTTTTCTCTTTTTTAAATTCTAAGGCCTAGAGAGGTGGCCCAGCAGTGAAAGAGTACTGGCTGCTCTTGCAAAGGACCCAGATTCAAAGTCCACTAATGACTTGGCAGCTTATAACCATCTGGAACTCCAACTGAAGAGCTCCAACACCCTCTCCCAGCTTCTGTGGGCACCAGGCATGCACGTGGTGCATAGACACACATACAGACAACACAGCCAAACACAAAATAAAATGCCCTTTAAATTTTTAAAAAGAATTCCATTTGCACTGAGCTATATGGACACATTAAGTATTTAAGAATGACAGTGTCACTTCTTTTTCTTCTTTGTTACAAAATCAATTTCATTTCATACACCTAACACTTAAAAGTGTAAGTTAGCAACTAGGAGTTTACTAATAAACTCTTAAATATAAACTTTTATTCTTGTAGAACCAAGAACCCTTTATACAGAAATGCACTGCACTATAGCAAAATATCAATAGGCATTATTGATAGCTCTCTAAGGAGCAACACCCAACCTCACTATTAAAATGAGTGGGGTGCTCTCATTTCAGCCACAGCAATAATTTAAAAACACAGAGATGCTCTTGATGCCAAAAATGATGTGCTACTACTGAGATAGCACACAAAAATGATTAGGGAACTCAAGTCTACTAGGTCAGAGTCTGAGTACAATAACACTAAGCACTGGGGAGCCAAATGGCTCAGAGACAAAAGGGGTAACCGTGCTTGCAATGGAAGCCTGTTACCCTGAGAGGTGAGGTGGAGAGAACCAGCTCCTCAATGTTCTCTGACATACACACACTCTAACAATAAATACATTTTAAAATAATAATTTTTAAAAAGACTAAGCATGTAGTAATAGTGCCACATACCTTTAATCCCAGAACTAGGGAGGCAGAGGCAGGAGGATCTCTGTGAGTTCAAGGCCATCCTGGTCTACATAGTAAGTTCCAAGATAGCCAGGGCTACATAGTGATCAAAAAACCCAAAAATGTATGAGCTGAGCAAAGACAAAAACAGTAGACATGCCACAGTGGACAGAGGAAAGGGCATGAGGCCCCAACCCTACGCAAAGCACTAAGGCAACTAAGGGTGCTGAGAGGAGGGTGGTCTTCCTTAGGGAAGAGCACACCAACTGGTCAGCCCTCAAAACACACATCTAAGTGACATTATAGCGAGTGAGCACATTATGTTTAGGAATACCAATGTACATCAATACACACACATGCATGCAATAACAATGAGAAAAGAGGCTATGGATTTGAAAGAGAGCGAGGAGGGGTACACGGGAGGGATTGAAGAGAAGGAGGAAATGTTATTATATCGTAATCTTAGAAGTAAAAGAAATATATTTTTTAAAACTCATAAGCTTACTTTAAACCAGAAATCAATGAGAGTATTAAGAATAAGTACATACGGAATTCTCACACTATCTATTACTAAGTGGTATGTTTCAGAAACATTACTATTTCTGTTTTAGAATTTTTTAATGTGTGAAAAGGTTTCACTTTTCACTTCCACGAACCTCTGGCTAAACTGGGTTTTGTGTTCATCTGTAGGGTCAGTTTCCCACTATGTCTCATTACACTGCACACATTACATGCGCTGTTGCTCTCATTCTCAGTGCTAACAGCAATTCCCTGTGTACTCCTACCAATTCTTAAATGTGTACAAAATAATGGGTTTCATTATTACATTTCCATCCATGCTTTATGATGTTTTTAGATTTAAAGTTAACATTTTAAAAAATGCAAATTATCTTGAAACATGATTTATAATAATCCTCTGAATAAATACCAATAATCTCAGAGCCAACAAAACTTTTACTTATAAAATACTTTCAAGAGTTTACTATGAGCTAGAAAAAACTTCCTGCTTCCTGAGGTGGCTCACAGTATAATCCCAACATCAGGAGTGTCACAAATTCAAGGCTAGCCAAAGCTACAAAGTGAATACAGGCCATCTTGGGCTACAAAGCTAAGTCCCTGCCTCAGAAAATCACACACACACACACACACACACACACACACCACCAACAACAAAAAATCCTACTCCCCAACCCTCCAAAAAACAACCAATTAAAAATAGGAGGAGGAAGAGGGGGGCAGAATGGAAAATAAAAGAACCGTAGAAATACTGATTTTTAAAAAATTCTTTTTCTGGGTGGTAGAGCAAGCCTTTAATCCCAACACTAAGAAGGCAGAGGCAGGTGGATCTCTTGAGTTCAAGGCCAGTCTGGTCTACAGAGTGAGGTCCAGGACAGCTAGAGCTACACAGAGAAACCCTGTTTTGTGAGAAAAAAAAATTCAAAGTTTCACAAACTACTGAATAGCAGATATAGTTGGAAACTTTGCCACTGTTACCAAAACACTAAAAACAGTAAAACCATTAAAAACATAAAAATTCAGTAATTCAGTAATTCCCCACAGTGTTTTCTTATGAACACCAGACCCAACAGGAGGGAGATTTCCAAACCCAAATAAAATTTAAAAGACTACACATGCAAACTCTTTAAAATATTCAACATTACATAAGCATGCTGAAGCCCTGAGACTTTATATTTCTGTTCAGAATATTGATTAATTTTTCAGAACCAATGTTCCCCAGTCCACATCTGGACAATCATTATTTTGAGCCATTTATTATTAATAACTCAAAACCTCTGATAACTACTTCCCTAGGTAACAATCAAATAAGCCTATTATGGATGGCTGTGCGAGTTTCACTTGAATTTTTAAAGAAAATTAAACATTTAGAGGTGTACAGCTTGACTTGCATTTATAACACGGCACATGAAGATACGGCAGGCAGGCCCAAGTTCTGCCTGAGCACAGAAGGCTTATTGGCAAGTATTCTAAATAACAACTGTTTCAGAAATCCAGTGGCCAGGACACTTCCTAGGTAAAGCTATTAGAGATTTAGGGACACAGTATCTTTTAAGGTCCTGCAGAACTCTAACCGCTCATCTCATAAGGACATTTGGGCCTGGAACCTGAGCTCTGTGGCTACTCCAGGCCGGCCTGCCTCCAGTCTTTCCGAGTGCAAGATCTTGAGTGTCTATAAGCAGCTAAGTAGAAAGGGCTGGGCTGCAGGAAGAGCTACAAACTGAAGGGTGAAGAGCACTATCAAATACCCAGAGGGTTTAGCCTCAGGTGAAAGAAAATGGTGAGGAAGTTACAATTGCTTACCTTTAGCAACATCATGACAGATTCATTTTTTAATTTATTATTTTCTTTTTTTAATGATCTTAAAACATTTTTAGCAAATCAAATCACTTTATATTTGAGCTGATGTTGGGAAACAAAAACATAAGTAACCCAAAGTGAAGAAATTACTGAGCAAAATATGAGGTCACTGAACTGTTTGATGCCTTAGGTTTCATTTTCCCTTCCACGCTATATCTTTATTAACTATTAATTCATGCACCTAGACACTAAAACTCTGTTGGTCAGAACTTAGACATCCTAAGTTGTTTCGATCCTATAATGCCAACTGGTTATTCCAGGCAGATGTCACAATCTGAGAGAAGAGGGAGAATATCAATTTTGCCCTCTGCCTCAAGCAGATCTCTCATTTCCTCTGTGGTCTTTTCCAGTCTAACATCTAGTCTTCTGTGGACATTAGCAGTTATCAAGGAAGGAAAGAAAAATAATCTTTTGAAATTGTAGCAACATGAAAATTTAAAATACCAAAAAAACCCCCCAAACAATACAACAACAAAATACCAGCGGAAGGGATTGTCAAATATGTTTAAGAAGATGTGCATATACTAACTTGGGCAAGAACGTTGCTAATCTTGGTGATCTTTTCTGTCCCAAACACCTATAACTAAGAGTTAATGAACAGAAGCTTATGGACTAAAGTAAATTGGCTGAGGCTTAACAAATTATGGCCCCCAAATCACTTGTTCCCCTTGTGTAAAAAATTAATACGAATGAATGATGTCACCAGAGTTTTTAACACAGCTCTGTCTTAGTAGATTTGGGGTACAATGGGCACTAACATTTTCCTTCCTATTCACAAGATTAAAAGTTAATTTAGTATTATAGCTACTCTGAGTCAGGAAAAATCTGGAGTTATTTCCTCCCTTTCCCCAACCTTCAGGAATGAGTGTCCCATTTTTTTTTTTTTTTCCCAAACATCTCTACTGGGGAATCAACTTGACATACTAACAAAATCTAATTCAAGGAGAAAGAACACCATTGAAACTTTTTGCAACATTGTCTGTTTACTGATAGATTTGCAGGCCAATTTTTTTTTTTTTTCTCCTAAAACAAGGTTCCTCTATGTACCTCTAGCCATCCTAGAACTGGCTCTGTAGAGCAGGCTGACCTCAAAGTCATAGGTCCACCTGCCTCTGCCTCCCGAGTGCTGGGGTTTATGGTGTGTACCATCACTGCACTATTTTCTTTTCAGTCTTACCCTTTTTGCTGTTACTTGCTTTTGGTTTAGTTTGAAGGTTTGAGGGTGATTACTGGCTTACTTTGAGAGAAAGAATTAAGTGTGAGGTGGGATGCAATTATTCGTAGCCTTCTTTCCCCAGGTGACTGGAGTACAGTCTGGGTTTCCCCACCTTACTCAAAGTGAAAATGGCTGAATAAATTCATGGCAGGTCATCTCCAAATCATCAGATACTGTCAGAAAAAAACATAATCCATAATCTGTTAACTTACACATAACAGAAAGGGGGAGCATGTGTGTGCGTGCGTGCGTGTGTGTGTGTGTGTGTGTGTGTGTGTGTATTCTGCTTAATGGACCCAAAAGATAGAACTCTTTCCTTTTCATTTGGAACCAGATGCACCAGAGACTGTGTTATGGTACCTTTTGCTCTTCTGTGAATTCAGAATCATTGTGTTGAGCTTGGGCCTCCTTCTGTAGGTGTCTTGCTAATCTGTAAGAAGAAAACACTGTTTAGAACTGAAAGCAAGCAAGCTATCTCAACAGCAGCAAGATGATACAGGCCAATCACTTAAAAAACAGTGAAGCACAATGCTTTGTTGTAATGTCAAGTTTCTTTCACCCAGAGAAGCAAACTCTAAATATGCTACAATACTTTTCACACCCTTTCACTGGGTAGAATCTGAGCCAAGAGAGTAAAAGCAGAGTGCAAAGGCAGGAGAGGGTCTCCATGGGCGTGGAGTCCAGTCCTCCTTGGCATGAACAGACTCTTCTGTAACCAGCCAGAGGTGACTATCCAGATGCAGCTTTGACTCTACACTGAGCACCAACTGCTGCACTGCCTACAGGCGCTTTATCAATTATTAATTTGATGATTAGTCCAAACTCAAATTACATCCATGACAAAGTGTGAGTACCAAAATCTGGTTTTGAAGGTACTTGTTTTGGGGGGAAATTACATCATTCATAAACAGAAATCATTGATTATCCAATTATCCTATTTTTAAAAATGGCAGCCATGAAGCCGGGCGGTGGTGGTGCACTCCTTTAATCCCAGCACTCGGGAGACAGAAGCAGGCTGATCTCTGTGAGTTCGAGACCAACCTGGTCTACAACAGCCTCCAAAGCCACAGAGAAACCCTGTCTCAACTCCCCCCCAAAAATGGCAGCCATGGGCTACGGAAAAGACTCTGTCTGCCTCCAACCCTGATGACCCAAATTTATCCCAGGGCCCATGTGGTACAAAGAGGGAACCAACTTTCCAAGTTGTCCTGTGACCTCCATATGTACACGGTATACACATGCATGCAAACAGCAGGCCATCTGAGAGTTTTCAAGGTTGGATCAATGTTTCTACTCCAAGAGCAGCAATAAGGATCAAATCTATTTGTTAAAGAGTAAAACAAAAAGGGCCAACACTTAAAACACACACAATACACACACACACACACACACACACACACACACACACACACACACAGAGGGAGGGAATTCTTGAGAGATTCTTGAATCCAGCTAGTAAGAACACAAAAAGACACATATCATAAGTCATAAGAAAATGCATACCAAATGACAATCTACCCTTCACAGCTAGAGATGCCAGTATTTAAAAAAAATAAAACAAAGGGAGAAAATAACAAGTGTTTAAGAGGACAAACAAAAAGCAGGAACCTCATACACTGCTGACAAAAAATAGACAATGGTACCAATCATATGGAAAAGTTTGGTAGTCAAGTAATTAACTACATACTTACTATAATACCCAGAAATTTTATAGTAGGTATACATCAAAAAAAATCTCAAAATATGTTTACATGAAATATTTGTACACATACATTCATTATTCACAACAACTGAAAAGCAGGAACAACTAAAATGCTCATTGACTAATGAGTGAATAAATAAAATGTGGTATATCCATTCATTGAAATATTTTTCCTTAGGGCTGGAAAAATAGCTCAGCAGTTAAGAGTACAGGCTGCTCTTACAGAGGAACCAGGTTCAATTCCCAGCACATGGCAATTCACAACCATCTGTAACTCCAGTCCCAGGGGGGCCAAAACCCTCTTCAGACCTCTGTGGACACCAGGCACATATGTGTTACACACACATACAGAGAGACAAAACACCTACACACATAAATATTATTCAGTCATAAAGAGGACTGAAATTAAGGTAACATGCTATAACATGAACTTAAAAATATTATGCTAAATGAAAGAAACGACATTAAAAGACTACGATTCCATTCACATGTAAAGTCCAGAATAAACCCATTGAGAAAAAAATTATTGGTAGTTGCTGTTAGTATCAGGCATCTGTACTGGCCTGCCCTTGGGGGTTCTGATAGGATACACCCTCAACTGCAGCCATTAAGAACACCACCTGTGCACATTCACTACGTTCCCTTTCAAAAGGGCCCTGCCCATCTCCCATCCTTCTCTCCCTCTCTCTGTCCCGCTCTCTCTCCTCCTTCTCTCCCCCTTTCATCTCTCCTGTTGCTCCTGTCTCCGGAGGAGGCTGGTCCCCCCTCCCCTTTCCCTTTTTTATGATCCCTTTCCCTTATTAAAAACAACAACAAAAACCAAAAATCTCTGCTTGAACCCTGTCTCATGGCATCTTTCTCTCCCACACTGCTTTTTTTTTTTTTTATTACAACAGTTGCTTCTACCATTTACTTATTTTCTCCTAAAGCTGGGAACATATTTTCTCCCTAAGTAATATTCTCAGACTTTCATGGACTCTATACAAGACAAGGTATAGAGAAAACCAATATGGTCGTTTTCCTTGTTCAGGACTCATGCTGACCTGCATAGAGTATTTCCTGGAAATGCAGTTTATAGCGTTATAAATCAACTATATTACCCTTGAACTTAGGGCACCACAATGTGACACAGTTGCTCCATCTGAATAAATCTACACATAATTTGCTAATTGTGGTTATTAGGTCAAGCAGGGTGATCATCAGAAGAAAAATGACAGCTTTAAATTCTTGTTCAGATACTAATAAGCAATGGAAAGAACACTAAATTCAAATAGAACCCAATGTACAAAATGTAGACAACAGACTGGGAAGATGTATTACAAAAATAAAGGATTTACATCCAGTATGTATGTATGTATGTATATAGAACCTTTAGAATTTTATACGTGCAAGATAATTCAATCTTTAGAAAGAGGCAAAAGATTTAGAAGGCACACAAAGATTTATAGAGGGGAAAATAGTCATGAAAAGGCAGTAAACACCATTAGTCATTAGTGAAATGTAAATTAAAACCATGGCCAGGTATATCACATACCCTCTAGAAGGATGTAATTAGATGGACAGTACCAAATGCTAGCTATGTGTGTATGTGTGAGGGAGAACCTCCCATTGCTGGCAGAAATATAAAATGATATCCTTATTCTGGACAGTAACTCAACAGATTTCCTTGAAAAGCCAAATATTTAACATAAGATCCAGCAGTTAAACTCACTGGTATCTATCTACTCAAAAGGAATGAAAATGCATGTTTACTTGGGCTGGAGAGATGGCTCAGTGGTACACTGCTCTTGCAGAGGACCTGAGTTCCGTTCTCAACACCCATAGCAGGCAGCTCACAACTGCCTGTAACTCCAACTCCGAGAAACCCAAACTTCTGGTCTCCCAACTTCAGACACCTGCATGTGTGCATATACTGCCCTCCACATAATTAAAAATAAAATTTAACTTTGAAAACATTGCATGCAAATCTTTAGGGCAGCACTGCAGGTAGTAATCAAAACTCGAATGCTCAATTATAACTAGTTTAGTGGGCACATGAAGTGTGGTGCACCTACACAATGTAATGTTATTGTTTACTAACCAAAACAATAAGGCATGCTGAATGAATCTTAGATTATGCTAAATAAGTCACCAAGAATGTGGTGTGAATACAAATGAGCAAAAGGGACCTTTGGAGGGAACTGGAATGTCCTAAATTCAGTGTGGTGACGGTTGCGCAAACTGGTGCATGTAAAATGTGTCAGCTGGTGGTGTATAAGTTATATCGCAATCGATTTTGTTGTTGGAGGTGATGGAGTTTTATGTTTTGAGTCAGGTCTCACTATGTAGCCCTCCCTGCCTAGCCTGGAACTGGCTGTGTAGATAATGCTAGCCTCTAACTTGCCTGCCTCTGTCTCCCAAATGCTGGGACTTAAAACAAAGAAAGAACAAAAACTCCTTTTTCTTAATGTCTTATATATTTCTGAAATCTATAACCCAAATTTCATGTGAATGGACTCCTACAACTGAGCCCTGATTGTGCACACTGAAGGAAAAGCCATACACTGTGGATAATCAGATGAAGAAATGAAAGAGTTGGCTATGGGTAATGGTGAGAAAATAGTCCAATACTCTTCTCTAGGCGCTGGAGCGATGCTTCCACAGTTCAGAGCACTTGTTGCACAATCCACATAACTAGCCAGACATCCCTAGCACACCTGTAAACCCAGCACCAAGGGTGCAGAGACAGGAGGATCACCAAGGTCGGATAGAATATCCAGGGAGCAAACTCAGAAGGGAAGTGTTTTAAAATGGTTTGTTAACTTAGGCCTTTTCATACCAATGAAACACATCTGCTCCTGGCAGCACCAGTCCCTTCAAAGAGGCCTGACAGGTAATGGAGTTTGCCTTCAATGTGACAAAACTAGCCGTATGGGCAAGAAACTGCTCTCGCCTGAACTACCTGACTATATGCTGAATAAACTCAGAGAAGGACATCAAGATAAAGTGGCCGATAGAGAATGTTTATTGTACACACAAGTACACACAACTCACATAAAGGCAAATCTTTTTTTTTTTTTAAAGATTTATTGATTATGTATACAGTCTTCTGTCTGCATGTATCCCTGCAGGCCAGAAGAGGGCATCAGCTCTCATTACAAATGGTTGTGATCCATCATGTGGTTGCTGGGGACTGAACTCAGGACCTTTAGATGAGCAGTCAGTGCTCTTAACCTCTGAGCCATCTCTCTAGCCCCTGGCAAATAAATTTTTAAAAGTTCTCTAGAGACTCCTCTTCTACTACAAAGGTGCCTACAAATAAAACAAGACTGCTCTCAGGAAGTGTCCTTCATATACTTCAAGCACATTATTGCTATAGACAGGAATTACCATCTGTAGCAAAGAACCAGGTTTTCTCTCTACTAGTTCCTGGCTGATACTCTGCAGATATAAGAAAAAAATACTATAAATGCAGGCAGGTGAGATGGCTCAGCAGGTAAAGCTGCCAAGTCTGACAACCCGAGTCAATCCCTGGGACAGACATGAAAGGCGGGAACGCAATCCTGCTAGTTTTCATTGATCTTCACATAGAGGCACCAGGCACACATATGGTGTGCAAAAATACATCCAGGCAAAACACTGATACACATAAAATAAGCTTAAAAATAAGACATAATATTCGTACCGTGAAAGCACATACACTATGCCACCAACATGGCCACACAAGCTAGCCTCTACATGCTGTATGATTATGGAGACAGTGTGGCTGCCCAGTTAAAAAGCCCAATTACCCAGAACTCTCCCCTCATTCTTGATACCCAGCCAGTGACTAAGTAATTGTGTGCATCATTTTCATGGTCCCCAACTGGCCTCCTTGGCTTCAGTCTTTCCTCCCAAAGAGTGTATTCAAAAACAAAGAGAGAGAGGGCAACTTGTTTCTATTTCAGTAGATTAGAAAGATGTAAATTCTTGGCCTCAGAAAGATGTAAGTTCTTGGCCTCCTTTATATGTAGCCTGAGCGTTACAAAGTTCAGCCCAATCACTACATTTCTATTGAAATCTGACAGTGCAGTTTTGTAAGAACTGGAAGAGTATTCTGCAGCTCTCCAGTACAGTGGTCAGTGTGGAGACTCAACAAAGGGTTTGCATGAGCCTGTTACTCTCATTCCCACTAAGCAGCTGCATATTCAATTTTCCTTTGTAATGTCAATTAGACATGGCATTCTTCACTTTCCACTGGGAGGTTTGCTGCCCAGTACCAACAGCTGCTGGGTCCACTGTACCACAAGTGAGGGGCAGCTTTGCATTTCAGGGTGTGCCACTTTGATTACCATAGAGGGTGATAACACACAGACCCTCATGGTGTTACCTGATCAAGTTACAGAAGAGCACATTCTGCAAAATGGGAGGAATCTTGAAATTTATCCAGTTTATTTTTCAGAGTTACGCTATCAATGTTTGACCAAGTACAGCACTTTGTTATTAACTCAGATATCAACAGAAAGGGACTGAAGATAGAAAAAAAAAGATTTCAAATGTATTATGTTATGACACTAGCTTTCTAATTTTATGAAAAGAAAAAGAATTCTATCCCTAGTGGGCAGTCACAAAAACAAATATAATCACATGGGGGTCCCACATACATGTTAGTAGTTGCCCAGCATGGCAAAACACCCAAAGCACTGCGTTTTTCAATCTATAGACCATTCTGTCAGTTACGACAGGCAGAAAACATCTATATATCCAAATTATCTCATGGACTATCCAAAAACAAGTAGCTATTGTAGGGAGAGGATAAGAGTGTCAATTTTCCAAGTACCAATTCTGTACTCTTCCCAGAGAGATGGGGATGGTTTCACAATTTGAGAAACTTCAAACAATTTATTTCAAAAGCAAGAATTAATGGTAACAGTGTGCAAACAATAGTATTTAATAGGCAGTTTCTTTTAGTACTAGGTCCAAGAAAGTAAGCAAGATGTTTATACACAGTTCTTTTTTTTTTTTTTTAAATGTATCTAAAGTTTAACTGGGAGGCACCAGAAAGAGATAATAATGAGACTTGGGTGGATGAAGGAAGCCAGTCCTGACATGTACCCTCAGGCTATACGTTGTACACAGGAAAAGGGGGAGGGACCCACGGAGGGAGTGGCGGCTCCTGTGCCTGGTCTATTAATTCACATTTTGCTCCCCTTTATTCATATCCTGCACGGACTCCACCCAAAGCAGCCAAGCGAGAGGGTGGGTGGGACTCACAGCCTAGCAAATAACAGTCCCAGAAATCGAAAACGAAATCGAGTTGGAATTGTGAAAACACCTCTCACCAGACAGAGGGGTGGGGAAGGAGCGCCAGTAGCAAGTAGGGACCCTTCTCGGGGCAGGAGAGGCTGCTGCAAGCCTTCCCGGGGGCAACCTCCACTCCCGCGTTAGCGATCCCTCCTGTTCTACACGTGGAGAGTGGAAGACACACACACCACACACACACTCACACACGCACGCAGAACACGGCCACTCATCCCCGGAACGTGGGCGAAGAGCACACAAGTATTCCCAAGGGATTTCCAAAGACATCTCCCCCCCCCCCCCGGGAGGGGTGGCAAGCGGGGCGAGGCGGCGGGAAGGCACGGGGACTGCCTGCAGAGCCCAGGGCCCGTGAGAAGCTCGAAGGGGACTCAGGAGAGAGCCAGTTAGGGCCCCAGCAGCTACCTGTTGAATGGACCCGGCCCTGTGCAAGGGAGGGAAGA